CCGTTTCGAACTTAAATAGGATTCCAAACGATATCTCGGACAAGGAAGGATATATAATGCAGCAATTGGTTCCAACCAATTCCTATACTTAATGCATCATCAACAATAAAAGATACTCAATGTATTTGTAAAAACATGGGAGGCTTAATATGCTCGGGGCTTGCCTTTCGAAATGAGGAAGGTCAGGTGGTCGTGGCACTCTCGGCAATTCCTCCTCATGCGATCGCTTCGTCGGCTTCCTGCACCTCGAGTTCCTCCTCTTGGTTGGCTCCCTCGAACTCCAGCAACGTCACTCCCTCCGGCACACCTATTGCATGAATGCGCAAGATAAATATCATGGATGCACATGAACGAATGTCAGGGATGCTCAGGGAATGCGCATGTTCACTGTAGTTTGCATATTCCAACTTAAGCCCTATTCAAATCACTTTACTTACCAAGTTTATACAACCTAATGTATAATTGCTCATCTTCAGTTAATGACCTAGCACCTGCACCTAAGCATATTCTCAAGTTAGACTAACCCCTAACAATCAACGGAAACATTGCATCAAGCATACACTCAAGCATTTGTATTTTAGCAAAATGAAGACTATGTAGCGGTGCAGTAAACTAGCCATAACTGGAGATTTATAAATCCAAATGACATGCAACAAGCCAATCTGGAAATCTTATGAAATTGTCTACAATTCATTTTCAGACCTCAAAGCATGATTCAACACTTTACCAAGTCGAATTCATAAATCAACAGGACTCTGTCCTCACAAGGCAGAGAGTAAGCAAAACTGGAACCTAACTTTAAACAGCTGTAGTTTCTAAACTACTGGGCCAAATGCCCTCAAATTTTGACCGGAGCTAGATACATAAATTATCTACAACTTTTGTATTCATCACATTCACAGCAAATCAAAATATCATGGGGAACTTTCTAAAGTCCCCAGATCTGTCCAGAAGGACATAATGCAAACAAATAATTCTTAACTTATGATATAAACACATAATTGGACAAAACTAACTCTACTCACATATCACTCATATCACAAGAACACCAGAAAGTAGGGTGTTCATCCCCAAAACATTTCTTGTAATACCTTTCTTAATTTATTTAATTAATTAGAGGAAATAGTAAACATATATGAAAACTACACCATTAAATCTACAAAAATTTCAGTAGACACTACATGCCCTAAGTAGACTACCATAAAAATTTCACACCATTTGAGTAAGTATAACAACCTACACAAAAATGATAAGGCATAATGGCTTAAAATGGCATAATTAGGAAACCTTAGTGAAAAGTGTCAAGTAACAGATTTCATATTTTTCCTAGCATCCTTAAGGTACTAAGATACTACCTACCAAGTTTCATGGTCGTAGGATTCCTAGATAATTTATAAAAATTCACACAAGTATCCACCAATGATAAAAGGAAAATCTATAACTCAAAAACTACACATGCAATGAGTCTCAAATTTTAACCAGAGCTTCTACTAAGCAATACTAGCTTACCCACAAAATTTCACAATTTTTGGATCACAGAAACTCAAGATATGATTTAAACAAGTTTGCATACATTCAAAAATACATTTCAAGTTCCTATTTAATTCACCCAAAATTTCTACATAATATGCTCAAGACATATTTTTCTTAAACACTAGACCTCACAGTGAGTCTAACAAAATTTGAATCACAGTATTTGGATCTACACATTTGGAGTTACAAAATTTACAAAACAGCACTAAAACTAGAATTATTTGAACTAGCCTCTCAAACTCAGTCACTGACAAGCGGGGCCCTCGGATCAGACGACCCCACCGGTCAGCGAGAGGAAACAGAGGAGGCGGCGTTCGATGGCACGGCGGTGGTCTAGCTCGCCGACGGCGAGGACTCCGGCGACACCAAGGCTACCTACATGATCTACGCGATGAGGTGGTTCGATTGGTGCTACCAGCTAGAGCTACGACCTAGCGGAGGGAGCTTGTCGCCGGTGATGGCGGCACGGCAAAGCTCCGATGTGAGCTGCCGGCGACGGCAAGCCATGGCTGGCTCAACCGAGCACGGCATGAGCTACAGGAGGTCGCCACGGTGCTATCCCAGCAAAAGGAAGAGGCGGGGAGGGTTCCTAGCTACCCCGACCACGGCGGCCTCAATTCCGGCGAGGGCACGCTCATGGCGGCGGTGACTGGAATGGCGAATACGCCCTTACCAACGCTCAAACAGCTCGGCTAAGGGGTGGAGATGGTAGAGGAGAACACGGCGGAGCTACGGACGAGCTGGCCGACGCATTTTTGCAGCGGCGAATGAGCTAGGCGACGACGCGGCTTGCTCGGCAATGGCGGAGCGGCTGAGCTCTATTGCTGCTCGCGGTGGAGGTGATGGAAATGAAAATTGAGCTGTCGAACAGGTCGGGCAGGCGCGTGGGCGGGTTCATGTCGTGGCCGACCGCGCCAGGGCGTCCGCGACGCGTGGCAGCGCGCTTAGGCGACCGGCGACGCGCGTCGGGCGTTTTCTGAAAACGGTCGGTACTGTAGCTGTCTGAATTTTTCGTTTCAGTGCTCCATGGTGCCGACTGACAGAGCAAGTTTAACGCTCCATATTTCCAAAACCGTGAGGATTCAGCTCATGGCATAGTTGACAAAGTTGTAGTACTAAGTGTGATCTTCCACTTTGCCAATTGGAGCTCAAGCTAATTCGGCTTTGTTTGGGAGCTACAAGGTGAATAAGTTGGGTACATGAAACTGAAAATCGGTTCACAGACTTAGAAAAATTTTTCAATGTTGAATCATCTTTCACTTGACTTGTGGGCCTTTTTTTAGCATGTTCAGCACATTTTCATGGAATGGTCATAAAATAACTTTTGTTCCTTATAAAATTTGCTACAACTTTGCTTTAGGTTGCTCAGACATGCAAATGCTCTAAGCTACACTTTTTAAACAGTCAAACTCAGAAGCTCTAGGGGTCCATAATGGTCAAACCATGACTTGGGAACCTAATTAGGCAAAATAATCAACATGAACCTTGTTCCTAATGACACTCTAAGTATAACTAAGTTGCTTAAGAGAATAATTAGCCACACCATACATTGGTCACACAAGAATCAAGCAAGGTATGTACTGAAACAATGCAAAACACATGAATTGTTACAATTGTTTCATAGTCATGTTTCACATGTTTCATGATCTTGTTGCATAGTATTAACTAACTTTGTTTCACTAAAGTGAGTGGCACATGTTGCACTTAAGTGTTGCACACTATTCATTTGATCAAACAAACACACATAAAATATGACAATATGTTGCATTGTTTCACAAGCATGTTTCATGCAATATAAGCTCATGAATGGATGCATGATGCTCATGTTTATGAAATACAAGTGTAAATGTGGAAGCCAAACACCTAGGGTGTTACATTAGTAGCTCTAGTTTTTCATGCCTACGTATTTTCCAACTTTTTGTCAAAGCCAACGATGGTGTATGCTTGCATTGTTGCTGCCCGAAGCAAAAAATTTACATTCTTATGGACCCCAAGCCTTTCAAATTAGGCCGCGTTTAGTTTCAAACCCAAAATCCCAAAAAGTGCTACAGTAGCCATCACATCGAATCTTCCGATACGTGCATGGAGCATTAAATATAGACGAAAAAAACTAATTGCACAGTTTGGTTGAAAATCGCGAGACGAACGTTTTGAGCCTAATTAGTCCATGATTGAACATTAATTGTCAAATAAAAACAAAAGTGCTACGATAGCCAAAATTCTAAAATTCAGCCAACTAAACACGGGCTTAACGTCTTGTAGACTGTTGTTGTTGAGCCTAAGGCCCTGTTTAGTTGCACCCAAAATGCCAAATTTTTCAAGATTTTCCGTCACATCGAATCTTTGGATGCATGCATGAAGCATTAAATATAAATAAAAAATAAAACTAATTATACAGTTTAGACGAAATCCACGAGACGAATCTTTTAAGCCTAATTAGACTATGATTGGACACTAATTACCAAATAACAATGAAAACGCTACAGTAACGTTTTGCCAAAAATTTTGACATCCAAACTGCCCTAAGTTATTGCGCTCTATATGCCGAGGTTGTCGTGTATTTTCCGCACTGACTCCGGTTGTCCCCGGTTATATGACCTCACAGACCGACACTGCGGTGGGTAACTCCGGGGTCCAGCAGAGCAGCGGGTGAAACCAAAAAATGACTTTACTGGGGGCACCAGCTCGCTGGGCAGCGGTAAACAACGACACACGGTGTGTGTACTTGTCAACGCATAAGGACGAGAGGGAGGGAGGACTGACTACACTGCACCGCGTGTTTCCGTGGCTGATCTCTTCAACCAAGCACAAGGGCAGGCCAGCCAATGGAAGCCGAGCATCCTTGTCGTCCAGTACGGATATTTGCTGGAAGAAAGAAGAAGGCGCACCTACCAACTTCTACTTGCACGCCGCGCTGTGCTCGGCCACTTGCAGCCAAAACAAGGGTGGCCCAAAACTGCAAGCCGCGCGCGCCGCGGACTGATGACCCCAGGGGAAGCGGAAGGGGAAGACGGGCGGGCTGACGTGGGAGAGCAGGCAGGCAGGGACGCCGGACGCGGAGCCTTCGTGGACTCGTCGTCCTTCGGCTTCCCTTCCCTTCCCTTCCCTTCCCCCCGATCGCGCGGCAACGACCGGTCGCCTGGTCTCCGTCGTCGTCTTCCGCCCCCTCCGCATCTGCAACGCACAACTTGGACTCGTGCACCTCTGCTCCGCTCCGCCCCGCCGTATAAGCGCCTAGCTAGCTCATGTCTTGTATATATATATAGGCGCCCCCCTCCGCGCTGGGAGTAGCACGGATCAACCATCACAACAGGTAGCTGAACCCCCAGAGGCGGCCAGAGCAACCGCACGGCGCACGCAGCTTTAGTTTAGTTTCTCCTCATCGCAACCGCAGCGCCGTCTCCAGCTCTCCTCCGGCGACGGCGGAACCGTCTCTGCAGCAGGCGCAGGGAGGGAGCCGGCGGGAGATGAGTCTGAGGCTGCTCACCACAGAGCGCAACCACCTTCTCTCCCCGAAGCCACAGAGCCCGCGGGATGCCGCCCTGTCGCTGCTGAGGTCACCCAGGCTGTCCTGCAGCGGCAGCAGCCCCAAGCCGAAGGCCGCCAAGATGGCGCACGGCGGCCTGGAGCGCTCGTTCAGCTTCAAGAACTGGGAGGCGGATGCGGCGGCCGCGGCCGCGGCGGCCAGCCGGGGCGGCGGCATCAACGGCGCGCGCCCGGGCACCCTGGCGCTGCAGCATCAGCAGCAACAGAGCCCCCGGCGCGTGGTGTCCGTGTCCCCGCACCCGCAGGCGCAGGCCATGATCGAGTACATCTCCCCTCGCCCCCGCGTGGAGCTGGACCAGGCGGCCACCAAGCTGCAGAAGGCCTACAAGGGCCTCCGCACGCGCCGCAACCTCGCCGACGGCGCCATCATCGCCGAGGAGCTGTGGTGGAAGACGGTCGACTCCGTGTACCTCAACATCAAGTCCATCTCCTTCTTCGACGAGGACAAGCAGGAGACCGCGGCCTCGCGATGGTCCAGGGCCGGCAAGAGGATCGCCAAGGTCGGCAAGGGACTCTCCAAGGACGACAAGGCGCAGAAGCTCGCGCTCCAGCACTGGCTCGAAGCGGTAAGCACTTGATCTCTTTCTTCTTAATTTCTTGGATCATTAACTCCAGTCATCTGTTTGTTTGTTTGTTCTCATCATCTCATCCTCTGTTTGTTCAGATTGACCCGCGCCACCGCTACGGCCACAACCTCCATCTCTACTACGACATCTGGTCCGCCAGCTCCAGCTGCGAGCCCTTCTTCTACTGGCTGGATGTCGGCAACGGCAGAGACTTGCATCACGAGAAATGCCCACGAAGCAAGCTCAACTCGCAGCTCATCATGTACCTCGGACCAGTACGTGCCCGGCGCCCCTCCTAAACGTCCATCCATCCATCCTTCCCATCTTCGTATATCCGTATCTGACTGTTGCTTCGTTATTGTTCAATCTCGATGAGCAGAACGAGAGGGCGGCGTACGAAGTGGTCGTGGAGGAAGGCCGGCTGCTGTACAAGCAGAGCGGAGACCTGGTGAACACGAACGAGGAGTCCAAGTGGATCTTCGTGCTGAGCACCAGCAGGTCGCTGTACGTCGGGCAGAAGCGCAAGGGCAAGTTCCAGCACTCGAGCTTCCTGTCCGGCGCCGCCACCTCCGCCGCCGGCAGGCTGGTCGCCAAGGAGGGCGTCCTCAAGGCCATATGGCCCTACAGCGGCCACTACCTCCCGACCGAGGAGAACTTCAGGGAGTTCATCACCTTCCTGGAGGACAACAACGTCGATCTCGCCAATGTCAAGGTAATAAATCAGTCACCAGTCTTCATCAATTGTTTGTCTCATTTAATGATTGCCAAGGAGGGCTTGTTGGCTGACAAAATGTTTATCATCAGCGATGCTCGGTGGACGACGACGAGTACCCATCGTTCAAGAAGCCGGCGGCGGCTCCAGAAGAGCAGCAGGCAGCAGAGGAGGCCGCCCCAGTGGCCACCGAAGAAGCCGCTGCACACGCTGAGGCCGTGGAGGACCAACAAGCAATGGTGGAGCTGCCCGCGGTGGACATCGTGAAGGAGGAGGACACGGCCACGGACACCGCCGCGGACGTGCAGGAGCCGCCGAAGATGATGATGGCCAGCCGCCGGCCGTCGTTCAAGTGGTCGACGCCGACGGGCGCGCGCATCGGGTGCCTCCAGAACTACCCGGCCGACGTCCAGAGCATGGCCCTGGAGCAGGTGAACCTGTCGCCGAGGGTGGCGCCGTCGCCGAGGCTGCCCATCCCGTCGCCGCGCCCCAGCCCCAAGATCAGGCTGTCGCCCAGCCTGCACTACATGGGCTGCCCCACCCCGACGGCCACGGGCGCCAGCAGCAGGCTCGCCATCCCGAGCCCGGCCAGGCGCTCGTCGCCCAAGCAGCACTTCATGGGCTTCCACACGCCCGCCGTGGCGCTCACGCTCCCCAAGCACAAGGCCAAGTGATCTGCCCATTGCTGGTTTGCTGCTCATTGACACCTCGCCGCAGCGCCGTTTTCCATGGTGCTACTGCGTTGCGCCGTTCTTTCCTTCAAATCTTTCAGCCACTAGTTTCAGCACGAGGGAGGGTTAACAAATTTGTTCGTTGGTTGCTTGATTTGTTGTTGTATGTAAACAACATGTTTTAGGTTGCGTTCTCTGATCGGGTACCATTCTTTTGTACGTTTCTTTATCATCGTCTTTTGACCTGAGGTGCTTGCGCTCTGCGTGCACACTACTGTATATATATGTACAATTCTAATTTCTAAACTACAGGCTGCAAGACGCCTATGTGCAACCTAAACCTGCAGTTCCTCAGAGAAATGTAGCACTGACTGCAGGATCCTCTTTGAATAAAAGAATTTGTTATGAATATCAGCATCTTGGTGTTAACTGTCACAATAATCCGTGCTTTCATTTTCCTGTATGTGTTTTCTACTACGTACAGATCTTCGAGCTGGATACTTAGGGCGCGTTTAGTTCCCAATTTTTTTTGGGTTTGGCTACTGTTTGGCTACTGTAGCACTTTCGTTTGTATTTGGTAATTAGTATTTAATTATGGACTAATTATGTTCAAAAGTTTCGTCTCGCGATTTCTCACATAACTGTGCAATTAGTTTTTTTTTCGTCTACATTTAGTACTCTATAGATATGCCGCAAAGATTCGATATGACACTTTGAGATGAAAATTTTTGGAATCTAAACAGAGTTTTGTGCATAACGATGAAAGTACAGCACTCCTAAAAGGCAAAGGTGAACAAATGTCAAATCTTGTCAAAAGCTAAAAAGGTAAAAGGGCGAAATCTCGGAAGAAGGTCAATTTCCGGTATAGAACAATGGAAATCCACAGGAAAAGGGTCAGGCGACGAAACCGGCGCCCGGACGCGTGTTTCTGGCCTTTTTTTCCTCTCTTCGGCTGACGTTTCGCGTCTTGGAAATGGAATTCTGCTTTGTTCTCAAGTACAGGCGTACAGCTTGCGTTTTGACTTGCGAGAGGCCACAAGTCCACTTTCAGAACCAGAGCCCAGAGGAGCTAACTTAAAATTCATCAATATACTGTAGCACTTTCGTTTGTATTTGGTAATTAGTATTTAATTATGGACTAATTAGGTTCAAAAGTTTGGTCTCGCGATTTCTCATCTAACTGTGCAATTAGTTTTTTTTTCGTCTACATTTAGTACTCCATAGATATGCCACAAAGATTCGATGTGACACTTTGACATGAAAATTTTTGGAATCCTTACATGGATTGTTACATCTGAGTTTTGTGCATAACGATGAAAGTACAGCACTCCTAAAAGGCAAAGGTGAACAAATGTCAAATCTTGTCAAAAGCTAAAAAGGTAAAAGGGCGAAATCTCGGAAGAAGGTCAATTTCCGGTATAGAACAATGGAAATCCACAGGAAAAGGGTCAGGCGACGAAACCGGCGCCCGGACGCGTGTTTCTGGCCTTTTTTTCCTCTCTTCGGCTGACGTTTCGCGTCTTGGAAATGGAATTCTGCTTTGTTCTCAAGTACAGGCGTACAGCTTGCGTTTTGACTTGCGAGAGGCCACAAGTCCACTTTCAGAACCAGAGCCCAGAGGAGCTAACTTAAAATTCATCAATATTTCACAAGTGTCTGCTGCAACTTGTTCTAGCTGCATCTGATATTTGGATTTTGGAGCATGACATTTCTGAAACTAGGAGTGCTGTAGAGCCCCTGTTCCACGGTCTCATAGTGTGGCGTCGGATTGGACTCTTTTAGGCAATTAATTAATATTAGGATATTGGGTATTATAGTAAAGTCCATTTTTCAACCACTGAGTCCGATTTTCATCCTCATACTACAACACCAAATACTAACCACTCTCTAACTATAGAAATCGGATAAGACATAGCCCCACAACAATTTCAAAATTGAAGGCTACAAATTAACTGTTCATGACAGCAGGAGGTTGAAATCTATAGGTCAATCTTAATCAAATTATGCGAATTGAGCCTAGCTCAGTTGGTTAGGTTCTTGTGGTGCAACCTACTCACCCGGGTTTAAGTCATCGACTTGACACGGGTGCTCGCGTTTTTCCTAAATTTATTTTAGGATTTAACGGCGTTGTTCTTTCAGTGGTAGGCAATGTTCCTATCGACAATGAGACGCCTGTGGTGACTTCATCAATCTCGAAATGTGCCGACACGGTCTTTCGGAGGTGCTCATAGGGGTAGGGTTTGCGTACGTGTGTTCATAGGCCTGTGATGACTTCGTCAATTTCGAGATGTGTCGGCACGGTCTTTCGGAGGTGCTCATAGGGGTAGGGTTTGCGGACTTGTGTTCATATGGTTGAGTGTGCGTGCGTGTTGAGCGTCTGCGTCTGTACTTGTGTAATTCGGAAAAAAAACATAATCAAATTATGTTACACCTGAAAACTCTTATATCATTTCTTTAAGTCCATTTAGATTTGTTCTTTTAAGTCTAATACTATCAATTTTGTATTATAGACGGGTATACACCTGATTGCGAAAAAAAAATTGTATTATAGAAAATTATGAGTCATTGGCAGATTGCTGTTGGTTTCAGTATGATTTTGGATATTCATTAACAAAAGTAATAAAACTTCTACTACTTATGATGAATCATGAATCTAAATGGACTTTAAAAATTGCATTAGAAAATAGATGTAACACGATTCTAATATTCTATTAAGGTGAAGCATAGATTTCAACCTCTAATGATTATTAAATTTCAACTTTTAACTTTCAATTTTGAAACCATTAGCTGACGTGTCACAATTGCTCTACGCAAGCGACAAAATATGAGTGGAGTCCCTCTGGGGTTGTGTTTTTGTCCAATTTCAAAAGTTAGGGAGTGTCCAATGTCCAATCTTTTTAGTTTATTGTTGAAAATCAAACTAGTTCAAAGCCCAAAAATAGAGTTTAGCCTTTGCTAGTCTATGAGGCCTCATTTTAGACTTTGCACGTGGCCTCGGTTTATGTAGGATGGCCCTAGATCCAATCGCACGGAAAGATAAGGTGCATATCCAATCAGCCGATCTGAAGATGAAAGGGTGTGGAGAAGAATAAGGAGAAAGGAAGGTTTTACATGCAAATGTAGAAGAAAGACGGAGAAAAAGTATAAAAGTGACTAGGGTGATTTAGAAATAGTTTAAAATTTATGATGTAAGATTGTTTTCTAACTTTTACGAGTGAGTACTTAAAAATGATCGGAGAAAACGAACAAATTGCACCGTACATTTTTTATCAACTTGAAAACTCATTGATTTACTAATTTTATTATTAACTATTGGAGATGCTTTTACAAAGATAGTTGCATTTCTCTTATTATATTAATATATTTAATAATGCTACCGGTAGGAAATACTTTCTCCGTTTTAAATTATAAGACGTTTTGACTTTTCTAGAATATATATATATATATATATATATATTATGTCTAGATACATAGTAAAAGCTATGAATCTAGAAATACCAAAACGTCTTATAATTTAGGACGGAGGAAATACATAAATAAGTATATCTCATATTATGTTGGGATATTTTTCTGCATATGACAGCTGTATGTATTTTCTTTAATGTTATTTATGTGGGAACTTTGATTTATTTGTTAGTTAATAATACGGTAATTCCTAGCCCTGAAGAATTACCATGCAGATTTTTTTTACTATCCAAATACTAAAATAATTGATGCCATGCTAGACTTTGTTACAATAACAAGGAGCTTAATTGGATCTAAAGTATGGTTTATAAGTGTACGTGGGTATATGCTAACGAGTGTCTATATTATGTTTCCGGAAAGGAAACCTTGGACTGGATGTGAAAAGAAAATGACATCCAGTTCTGGGCATACAGTGAGCTTTGACGATGTTTCCTAACAATGGTTTCTGCAGCAGACAATCAATCAGTAAATAAGAATTTAGCGTTAGATAGTTTGTGAGTTATCTTTAGCGATAGATCATCCATCGATAAATATAATTTTTAGCGTCAGATGCCTGACGGTGATGCGGTGTTGTGGTATAGTGTAAGCCAGCTGATGTTGATTTGTTGTGAAAGAAAAATATTGTTTCATCGCTTATAAGTAGTTCAAACGAACAGGGTGACAGTAAAATTTTGTTTCCGTACTGCTGGGCACCTACTACTCTCAGTTTTTTCATCATCACGTTATAAGGTCACGGTGACTCCATATTGCAAATTAAGCCTCATTTTGTACGAGGTCGAGTCATTTTCGGTTCCTGATTTGAACGTTTCAGAAATCACGTTTGACCGCAAGGGTCGGTGTGTGTGTGGATACGCGTCGTCTGGTTGGCACGAGCGCCTCCCGTGCCGTCGCAGACCAGGACAATGCAAGATGAGGAGGCCAGCTACGAGCGAGAAGCGGTCCAAGTCTTGGCAAGTCGCCTCGTGCTTTGTTGGGATTGCCTGCAACGTCATCCGATCCGGTCTCGACGTGTCTAGGGCAGGGAGGTCGCCTGATGCACACGCGTCCGCCGCATGCGCGTTCATAAACACGTGCCCAAGACATCCCGCGCCATTTTCACTTTAATTAAAATAAATATATAGTACAACTACGGACTGATTTTGGAGTATCAGCACGTTGAGTGTTAGCCTGTTATGTACTGTAGTAGTAGTCGTTTTGACTTGTTGTAGATGCATGGGATGGGACTGCTGATGAAGCGTTATATTATTAACAGCGTCTGGACGTCCGAGGAGATAAGATTCCGTCGGACGATGGTTTCCGCGCGCACTTGCACAGCCTACTCCTCGTCCGCTAATTCGCCCTGCCCGCATGCGCATCGCGTCGTCATCGCGTTCGTACGACTTGCTCACAATCCGTCCCGTCCGCTTCGATTCGACCCGCCCCAATCCGCGTACCCCGTCCCCGTCCATTCGCCCGTGCCCCGCAGGTGCACCCCGCTCTGTCGTGCCCTTGGCCGACAGCCCCAAGTGCGTCGCGTGCCACGTCCGCCGGCCACCGGC